GGTTATGACCTCAGCGCGGAGCTCAGCTGACAATCCGGTGCCTATCTTAACCTTGCGCTCTGGGGTTGCAGGGTCAAGGGTGACCTCTTCTGTCCCTTCTGCTGGTTCAGCACGGGGTCTTCGCTCTTCATCTTGTAGGTATTGTGTGGCCACAGTGTTTACCTGGAGGCCATGCCGCCCCACCTTCTTTGTGATTTTTATGTAACATGTTCGGGCGAGCTTCTGGCTCCCGCGTGCTATCCCCACTCCGGTTGGTGTTGGGAACTTAATACAAAGATGTGTCGGGGACACAATGCACTGCAAATCTTCCAGGCCTGGCCGTCCGAGTATAAGATTATGTGCACATGTCAGTCGGACAACTACGAACTCCATGTTGAGTTTCACTTTATGGGATGTGTCCCCCACCTCTACCGGGACCGTGACAACTCCCTCTGCCTCGATAGAGTCACCCGTGAACCCAGATAACGGGGTTTTTATCGGATGGAGTTTTCCTTTGGACAACTTCAGTTTCTCGAAAGTGTCGAGGTACATTATGTTAACGGAACTTCCAGTGTCGACCAGGGTACGGTGTATGACAAGATCATTGATCTCCATTTTGATAACCATGGCATCCCGATGTGGGCTTGGACATGGTGGTAGGTCATCATCAGTAAAGCATATAGGTTCACGTCGTACCTTCTTTTTCATTAGAGAGTGCATGATCTCACCAATGTACAGTTGACGAGCCCATTTCTTTCGAAGGGACGAAGAGTCCCCGCCTGCATTACCTCCATAAATGAAATTGATGTCATGGTTCCTCTTGTCTCGCTTCGGCCCTGGCTCATCCGAGGCATCCTCGTCACTCTCATTTCCAATGTGTCTTTTCTCTGCCCTTTGGGTCTCCGGCTGCGTGCATGCCACTTGTTCTGATGATTTCCGCCATACATGGTTGGGCTGCTGTGCAGCCCCTTTGACGAAGTTACTCAGATGGCCTCTTTGGATCAGTCTTTCAATCTCGCGTTTCAAGGTAAAGCACTCCTCCGTGTCGTGATTATCCACCCGGTGGTAGCGACAATACTTTTTAGCACCAGAGACAGCGTACACTTCACCCTCCGGCCTTGGCCCTTGCATGAGACCCGTGCGCTCGGCATAGTCCAAGATCGTACCCACAGGATGAGTTAGAGGCATCGAGCTTGTATTAGGAATCTGCCTTGGACCATAATTGAAATCTTTCTTGATTTTCTTTTGTTTTTTGTGGTGAGGGACAGTCCCCTCCCTCCAAGGTTCCGATGACTCGTCCTTTTTCTTTTGCACCTCTCGGATCTCCGCATCGGCGTATCGGTCAGCTCTTTGAAGGGCGGCCTGGTACGACCTTGGCGGGTCCCGGATGAGACTTGAGGCGAACTCCCCAGCCCTCAACGCTGCCTGGAACATGGCAAGGCGAGTTTGGTCGTCCGCCCCATGCACGGCAGAAGACTCCTTCCTCCACCGTATCACGAAATCTTTCAAGTCCTCCCCCTTCTTCTGCTTCACGGTCAGGAGGTGTGAGTAGTGTTGCTTGGTTCTTTTGCTAGCGGCAAAGTGTTGAAGAAACCTTTGCGCTAAGTCCTCCCATTCATCTATCGAGCCATGGGGGAGAGAATTGAACCACTCACACGCAGTTCCCTCCAACGTAGCTAGGAAACAACGGCAAATTATTTCCTCTGATGCCCCGATCATAATCATATTAGCATAATAACGTGACAAATGTTCCTGGGGATCTGAGGTTCCCGAATAGGCCTTGACATGGGGCGCCTTGAAGCCAATTGGTAACGGGTATGCCATGATCCGTGTAGTGAACGGGGTTACCGTCTTTAGTTTAGCGTCTGTGTTTCCATCTCCTGCATCTACCCGTCGTTGCAGGTCCTCGATTTTTCTCCATAGCTTCCTCACCTCCACGTCATTTAGATCATTCTTGGTTCTTTCTGCTTGAATCGTCACACGTTTCCTGCCACCGTCCTCTACTTCTGTGTTCCTCGGTTTTTGTGAACGTATTTCAGTCCCGCCGACATGCTCAGTCATGTGTCCAAGTGAATGGTGACTGGTAGTCATATGGGTGACTTTGGGAGCTTGCACGCGCTCCTCTTCACCGTGGTCATGTCGTCCACGGTGGTTTTGTGTATCCCTTTCTTTATCAACATGGTGCGATCGTCCGAGACGGTCTTTAGCAGAGCGTCGTCGGTCTCCCAATCTACTAAACACCGAGGTTTCACTTCGAGCTGGTTGGTTCGAAGAGACAGGGACTCCTCGTCCCTCTCTTCTCTCTCCATTTTTTTGAGATGGCGCCGGTGATGTCACCTCCACCTCCACCGCCGGATGATTAGTCGGAACTTGAGTTCCGTGTGGTTGAGGAGGCTTTTGATGAGTGCTAGGAATTGCACGGCGTACGTCCTTCGCAAGAGTACCCAACATCCTGGTCATCCCTAGGATGGCACCATGGACATCGGGCACTTCTACGGGAACCACCGCAGGGCGGCTGAGTCGGTTACGCAGGTCTTGACCCGATGAGTTGGACGCAGTGTGTCCATCGGCGGGTACATCCTTCTCCGCCCTTGTAGTAGCCATTGTTACAACGTTGAAATAGCCCGAGTGTATTTTCAGCTCTCAATGAAAGCACCAAAATGATGGAAGTAAATCCACCGGAAAATAATTAATAAGAGATAGCCGAAAATAATTAAAGTGCTCAGGATAATCTTTAGAGAGATAAATGTATGTAGTGTATTCAGTGTATTGAGCTTGATTAACTTTCCAAAGATTACATGATTTTATAGTAGAAAATAAGACATAAAAGATTCGGGCGACGTGGTCGCCATGTTCGAATTGATATGCAAATCAATAACCCGGATCCGCAGAATCCTTTGTTGATTGTGAATATCTTGAAAAGACGTCGCTGATGTAGTTTGTCGTACGGAGTCGCCATGTAGCTTCTGCCATGATGTCCAGAGACACCATGTACATATTGTTTAGATAAGCTTCTACTACTATGTCCAGGGTCACTGTGGACGCTCCTCTGGCTAAGGTACTTGATCGCGTCCATGGTTGCTGTGGACATGCTCTCTAGATAGGCTTACAATGACATCCACAGTTACTCTGTACTCCCTGATCTTCTACTAACTCTTGTCCACAGTCGTCATGTACAGTCTTTTATCTCCTAACCCGCCCATGGTCACCACGTACGAGCTCTTCTTATACCTTATCATCATCCGTACATAGTTACCGTGCACATGAACCTCTAACTCACTTTCATCCATGTTAATCCGATCAATATTTATCCATGGTTGGGATAATTATACCATCATTAATTATAGTATAAAAAATAAAACTGTTTTCCGAAATTAATTTAGAATTAAATATAAAAACTGTTTAATAAACTATATATTGGGTTAAACAGGTAAATTAAAAAATGTTTTTAACTACATATACGAAATTATGTAAACTATATATTTCTGAAACTGTTTTTCTGAAAATAGAGTTTAAAACTACAAAAACAGTTTTTTTTAGTAAAAACAGTTTTTTTTTTTGTAAAAACAGTTTTTTTGTGAAAACTGATTTTTATCAGTTTTTGTAAAAACTGATTTTGTTGTTAAACTGTTTTTTTATAAAATATATTTTTATTTCTTAAAAACAGAATTTTGTAAAAGCTGTTTTTGGAAAATCTTAATTCAAAAACTAATAAAAAACCATTTCCTTATTAGTTTTATAAGGAAATATTGAAAAACAGTTTGACTAATAAACTGTTTTTTATTAGTTGTAAAAGTAAACTATTTAATAATTATTAATCACAAACTGTTTCAAAACAGATTTTTTATTAGTTGTAAAAACTGTTTTTCTAAATCTAGTTATTTATTATTTCCTTATAAAAATTGATTTTTATAAAACTTCAAAACAAATAATGCCCCTCATGTAAACTTGCCAAAAAGTTTAACATGTTACCTTGAAGTGCAATCAATACAAAAATGTATTGTTTCAAAGTTAAAAATAATTAATTGAAAAAAATATCATCCCCTCATATTAAACTTAAACATAGTTTAATATGTCATAAACATTTTCAACTAAATTTTGATCTTCTATTATATTCCCACTAACATTTGAAATATACAAATTAATATACTTTTAGATGAGCAATGAACAATCAACCTCGCGTACCCGCCCGAACTATGCGCCCTTAACCGAAGCAGGGCGCAACAATGAAAATGCGGTTTGGGTGACACCTCACATGGTTGCTAAGTAAGTAACTATGAACTTTACCTAATGTCAAATAATTTTATCTAATGTCAAAATAATCTAACCAAAATGGATATAAAAAAATATCATTAATTTTTTGAAGCGATCAAGATGTGCTGGACCAAATCAAACTCATAATTGGTGGACACTTTCTTGGGAACTGGGCAACCTACACGGATGTTGACCCCAAGGTCCGTGAACTATGGTGGAACCTGTTCAAGGTAAAAATAAATGAATGTTCCTCGAGTAATTGTAGTACCCTAATATATACCAAAATATTAGTTCATCCCTTTTTTAAATAAAGGGCCGGTTTCGATGGACTGAAGCACAAGGCCCTGCTATTCTTAGAGCCTATAATGCCAGGATTTCGAACTGGCTTCGGCCCACTTTTAAGCGTGCCCGAGCGCAAGGGCGACAACCTAGATGGTGTTCGGATGAGGTGTGGGCCAACCTCGTCCGCCATTGGTCTTTTGATACAAACTTCTTGGCAAGGAGCGAATCCGGTAAGAAAAACCGGATGTCCGAGAAGGCCTTGGAGATTCAATGGCACGGGGGTCGCAAACCTCAGAGTAAACATAGAGAAGCTCTTGTAAGTCCTATTCAAAAAAATCTTACCTCATTACAACCCTTCATTTTCTACATTTATTTATGAATTTTAAGTTTTTTTTCGAACCATAAAGGCGGGGCCTGAGAAGAAGAAGGTCTCGATCCTCAAGGTCATCAAACATTGTTGGACAAAGCACGGCGATGAGTCGGAAGCCGATCTGCCACCCCGTCTCGCCGAAATCGAAGTAAGTAACATCAATTTCCTTATTTAGTAACATTTCAAAAAGAAAGTAAATAACCTTTCAATAATTTTTGTACATGTAGACGAAGTACAACACAAATATTGAGAAGAAGCGGGCGGAATTAGGCTTGACCCAGGAGGATGAGATCGATTCTGATGCGGAAGATGATGTGATCCTTGAGGCAGCTGGAGTGTACAAGGGTCGAGTTCCGTGCATGGGGGCTCAGGGGCAACGGATTTTGTATGACCACACCACCGGAGCTTCATCTTCTCGATCAGGGCGGGGAGAGGATCCACGCATCGCCCAAATGCAGCGAGAATTGGAGGAGCAGCAGCGGGCATTAGAGCAGCAATGGAAGAAGGATGAAGAAACAAGAGCCCGGCTGGAAGCGATAGAGCGGATCTTAAACGCCGGATATCAGCCTCATCCTCGGCCGTACATATTGCACCCCGAGCAGACTCCTCAAGTTCCGCACATTGGCAACATGGGTTATCATTCTAACTCCGGATATAGTAGCATGCCTGTGATGGATCCGACATTCGGATCTGTGTCGTATGGTTTCTTGAATCAATTTCAGTCATCCGGAGGACCCAGCTGTGGAGCGAGCCGAGGAGGTAGCCGAGGAGGCAATCGAGGAGGCAGCTGAGGAGGAACCCGACCCGAAGACACCGTGGAGCTCGAAGATGAGGATGATGATGATGATGATGATGATGATGATAATGATGAATATGATAATGATAATCCTAATTTTTATCATAATGGAGTCCGAAGGCCGGACATGTAATAGTACAGTTTTATCATTAACATCTAACATTATTTTTATAATTTCAGTTTGCAATGCACTTTTATTGTGTATGTGTGTATGAATTTTGTTTTTTATTTAATGGTATAATTGCTATACTTTTAAAATATAATATTTTTCCTAATAAATTTTTGAAATATTTTTAACAACAATTTTTTTTAAGAAAAATTAAAATAAGTTATAATTTTGTTTTTTAAAAAATGGATTTTTTTAAAAAAACAAAACATTTAGTCACGGATATGAGCCGTGACTAAGTTTTTAGTCCGGAAATTCTTTTATAAATTTAAAATTTATTTTTTTTATAAAAAAATTTTAGTCACGGATTTATGACCGTGACTAATACGAAATTTTAAAAATTTGAAAATAGGAACCGCAAGTTTTTGAAAATTTCAAAATTTGAAAACTTAGTCACAGAAATTTCCGTGACTAATTAATATGGCCGAATTTTAAAAAATAAAATACTTAGTCACGGACGTGTCCGTGACTAATATAAAAAAAATTTAAAAAAAATGTAGTCACAGATCTTAGCCGTGACTAAAGTGCCGGAGCAGCTATTCCGGTGATAGATTAGTCACGGATCTGGTCCGTGACTAATCCGTGACTACATTTAGTCACGGACAATTTGGCGTGACTAAATTTAGTGACGCCCAAACAGTCACGGATTTAAGGGGGTGTCCCCAACATAGATTTTAAAGGATTGTAGATTTCATGGATTTTAATAGAATTCTATAGATTCCATGAGATTGAAATGGAATTCTATGGAATTCTACTTGATACAATTGTATGGATTTCAATGGATTTTAATAGATTTAAAAAACAAGTCAATGTAAAACGTTGCCCCAATTCCCGGTTACCCACACCTACTCAGCCGCTCCAAACCGCCGCCGGAAAAGTTGTCAGAATATTTTGATGAATTTTTTCTTCATTGTTCTTTGCAATTTTTCAAAATTTACCAGAAAAGTTAACGTTAAATTGGTTTCAATCTAGTCATATTTAAGGAAAAACTTCAAATTGAAATTGATGACATAATTATCACAGATGTATTGCAAGTATAGTAAAAGCGTAAAAATAATGCACATGACATGTCAGAATGTCAGTTAAATTAAGCACGTCTAATTCCCTTGTAGAGAAGCTTCAATTTGAACTTGAACACGTAGAAAATAAACTCCGCTTAACCTCTGAAATAGAGGAAAAGCATGCACTGCACGAGCAAGAGCTCTTGGCAGATCTCTCCCTTCTCGAGATTGAAATGCAAAGAACTGCTTATGAAATTGGACTTGATAATATTGCTGATGAAATTGAGGGAAGCAGCTCAACAATTTGTCGGCTATTACAACTTTTACAAGATAACCAAAATCTATTGATGTCTTTACAGAGTAAAACTGAGGATAAAAAGCTCACTATCTGCTATCCACACTATTACGTTTGAAAATCTTGTAAAGAAAAACACTTGATGGAACGATGATGAAAATCTGGAAAAAAACATACTGAGTACTTGGGAGATGGAAGAACACAAGTCACAAAGGGGATGAACGTGAGAATGACGATAGAGCTCCTATCGGTAATTACCTTGGTGCGTTGGTGCGGCCATTTTAAAATAATGGATTTGAAATCCAAGGCTTGTTAGTGAGATTGTTGGTGGATTGAGTTATTCATTATTTAGGTCTTAAAGTCCATCAAAGTCTTTCCAAGTCCATTAAAATCAATAAGAAGTAAAATCCATTGGAATGATTGAGGATACCTGAATTTTAATAGATTCCACATAAATCTGAATTGAGGATATCTGGATTTGGATGGAATTCTAAATTCCATTAAAATCCATGTTGGGGACACCCCCTTAGTCACGGACAGAATCCGTGACTAAAGGAGTTAGTCATGAATTTTTTACACTGCGGTCCGTGACTAAATCCGTGACTACAGCCGAATTTTTTTGTAGTGCAGACCAGACTGCCATAGTTATAAAATATAAAGAGCTCAAACATTTTTCAGATCAGACCACATCGGATTTAAACAGATCACATCCGATTAAAAACATCCTTATTCCAATATGAAAACAATTTCAAACTAAGTCTAGTTGAGAAAACTTAATAAAAAAAATGCTTGTGCGGTGCACACTACACACTAGTCCTCGAAGAGAGGTATTGGCACACTCTAGCACGCATTTGAACCTAATGCTCTTCTTAAATGTAGAAAATTTAATATACCCTTTTAAATTTTGTGACAAAAATATGATGCTTTGGACTTTGGAGTATTATTTACTGTGTATGTTGTTGGGATCCCTCCTTAATTGAGAAGTTAATGAGAATTCTAGAATAGTGCGGAGATGTCTAGAATTCTCTAGATGTGTGTAGAGAAGCATTGAATGTTCTAGAATATTCTGGAGCTTTCTAGAGAGACGTGGAATTATCTAGAAGTGTGTGGAAGAGTATAGAATATTCTAGAACATTGTGGAGCTTTCTAGAGAAGTGTGGAATTCTCTAGAATCGTGCGGAAGTGTGTAGAAGCCTCTAGAATATCCTGGAGCAGTGTGGAGTTCTCTAAATCCTTCTAGAAGAATAGAGAAGCTTGTGGTCACTTCTTGGAAGAATCTAGAAGTATAGAGAGTTCTAGAGGAGCTTGAGGAGATTAGTATAAATAGGGGTGAAACTCCTCATTTCTAGAGAGAGAGCCTCTAGAGTGAGAGCCATGAGGAGGTCCTAGAGTGAGAGGCTAGAGAGAGCCTCCTCAAGTGATGAGAGAGATCCTTGAGGAGGGCTATTAAGTAAGTGAAGGCCTTCTCTAGAGAGGGATGTGAGAGTGAAGTAGTCTCATACAAAGAGTGATGTGAGCTACTCGTTTACTTGTAAAATCTCTCTTGTACATTTCAATTGTATAATACAAAGTGTTATTGTTAGATTGGGCCTTTGTATTAAGAGTGGATGTGTGAGTGTACAAGAGTCCTTTGAGCTCGTGATCCTGGAAGAGGTCGGGGTGTCGTGTTTTCCCCAACATATGTGTAGTCAAATTAATCTAGTTGGATATTTTCTACTTTTGTAAGTTTTGTAAGTTTGTTTAATCTATTTAAACCAGGTTCAAAACAAGCTAATCTGATCGTGTATAGGAATTTGTAGGGAACTGAATTTATTTTAATTGAACACGTCACGCATCCATATATGTTTAATCATCCTAAGTCATGCTTGCGCATGATTACATCATTGTGAGTACCAATTAATATTTGGAGCTGTACTTTCAAAGTAAACCCAATATTCAATTTGTTTTCAGTAAAGGAAAAAGGGTGAGCGAACACGCTAAAATGCGACACATGGCACAAACGCCAAAGTGACAAAACACCCACTTTGGCTTGACATCAAGTCATGAACGAATGCTAATCAACCACAGTTGAAAGTTTGATACTCCTCCCTCCGTAACATTCATATCTTCTCACTTTCCTTTTTTGGATGTAACATTTATATCTTCCCATTTTTAAATCTTCCCATTATACCCTCAATAATTTAAAAAACAATACACTATTACACCTACTTTTTTTGGATTTATCCTTCATTCCATCACATTATTTCACTATCTTCCCATCATACCCTCAATAATTCATATCCCCTTTTACTATTCTTAATCTCACCCACTTTTGAAGTGGGAAGATATATGTGATACGGACGGAGTAACCAACAAGGAATCACAGCAATGACTCGGTCTTTCCCTCAAAAAAAAAAAAAAAAAGCAATGACTCGGTCTGCCACGTATAAACACAAAAAAGAAGTTGGCATGTCCTAGCCTCAATATTCGACCGGATATAAATAAAGCTTTTCACCCTTTTCATACCCATAAAATCAAAGTTTGACTAAACCAATCGATCACATAGCTTCTCAAAGATGTTATTTTGATATTTGTCTTCCAAAAGTTTCGTATTTAATTATTCGACTTTCACAAAATTGACATTTTAATCTTTCAGTTGTTATAAGACTGATATTTTAGTTCTCCATCTATTGTGACAATACACATGTGACTAAATGTGAAGAATTTAATTAAGATGGGGAACTAAAAATGCATCTTTCACAATAGGTGTAGGACCATAAGAAAAAAATTAGCAGTCCAATATCAAAAGTGTAAATAATACAATAATTGAAGATCAAGTGGCAAAACTCGTTGTTATTTAACTTAGCACTTGTAAATGTTTTAGAATTTTATTACGTAGTACGTACTCCCTATTTTATTAGAAGAAAAGGTGAGTAGCTTTTGATGAAAAGTTTGTTACTTAACATTAATTAATGAGTATAAATTGTAATTTAAAAATAGTGATATAAAATAGTTTGTTTTTATCAAACAACTTATAATGTGAATTAAGTTATAGGCTTAATAAGAGAAGAAGTACAGACTCCGTATTACAAAACAATTCTTGAAGTCTATCACTATAAAATTATGATTCTCACTAAAATCTTACAATATTTTTCAAACTGTTACTAAAAAAAATCAATTCAGCCAACTATACCAAACATATGTATTATGTATACATATGTCTAAAAAAATGCATACATCTATATAATATAATAAAGCAATCCCTTGGAGAATCATTGAAGGAATTTTTGACATGTGGACATACTCTTTGTTGGAAATTGTGACATGTGTCAACATTACAATAAATACCTTATTCCCAATTCAAGTCTCTTTTTTTTCTTATTCCCAAGTCTCTAAACACATGTGTACATGACACGCAATCTATGTAGAACACAATTTAAATAGAAGGGTAAAATACACGTAGGGATTACTTTTAAATTACTCTCTTCGTCCCTTAAAATTTGACCAAGTTTGACTAGCGCGAGAATTTAAAAAATAAAAATTGTGTATTGTTATTTATACCGATGAGAGGG